AACAGACACCTCCTTGAGGTAGCACGAGGGATAATGCTACACATGAATGTTCCAAAATGTTTTTTTATAGATATTGTACTTGTCGGTGCTTATGTCATAAATCGCATGCCCTCTAGAGTGTTGAACTACAAGGCCCCTCAGTTGTTGTTCCCTCAGTCTCCTTTATTTTTCATTCCCATGAGGGTGTTTGACTATCATGCTTTTGTCCATGACTTATCTCTATCCCGTGGTAAGTTAGACCCTCAATCTATTCCATGTATCTTTCTGTGGTATCCCTCCTCTCAAAAGGGTTACCGGTGCTTTGATCCCATTGGTCATAAGTTCTTTGTCTTTATGGATGTCTCCTTTTTTAAGTTTGAACCATTCTTCCCTACCTTTTTTTTTTAGAAAATTTAACCAAGATTCTTCCCTGCTTCTCCTTAGGGAGGAAGTAACATGCAAGAGGAGAAGTAGGCCCAGGTCCATCAAGTCTCTCTTCCTTCTATTTTAGATCCTGCTCCTTTTTGTGTCTCCCAACGTACTCGTCATAGAGATCAGCAATGTGACAAAGATATGGAGCCACCAAACACTGAGGAACTAATACCTTCAAACTCCCAGGAGGTAAGTCCAAATGAACCAAACACTATTGCACCAGTTGATACCCCGACTCCCACTTCAGTTGTGGATGACCTTGACATTCCTATTGCTCATAGAAAGGGAGTCAAGCCATGCACTACCAAACACCCCAATACCAGTATGCCTCCTATGATCACATTTCCCCCCTCTCACTGTGCCTTCCTATCTGCAGTTGATAGCATCCCCATACCAAAAATGTTGCAAAGGCTTTAAAATACCCTGAATGGACAAATGCTATAAAGGAGTTAATGCCCTCCATAAGAATTAGACATGGGAGTTGATGGATCTTCCACAAGGGGAAGACCCAATAGGGTGTAAGTGGATGTTTAGAGTGAAACACAAGGCGGACGGGATAGTTGAAAGGTATAAAGCAAGGTTGGTAGCAAAAGGGTACACTCAAGTCTATGGTGTTGACTATGATGAGACATTTGCTCTAGAACAGGAGGTGTACAAAGTCAACTATGACTGGTTGAAAACCTTGACTGGGAATTGCATCAACTAAATATAAAGAATGCCTTTTTAAATGGTGATCTAGAACAGGAGGTGTACAAAGTCAACCCTCAGGTTTTTGTGCCAAAGGAAGTGAAAATAAGGTGTGCAAGATAAGAAAGTCCCTTTATGGTTTAAAACAATCTCCTAGAGCATGGTTCAGTAAATTTCATATGGCGGTCCATCAAGTAGGGTTCAAACAATGTCAGTCCGATCACACTCTCTTTGTGAAGAGATGTCAGGAACAGGTTGTTGTGTTGATAGTGTACATGGATGATATCATCATTACATGAAACTGGAGCTCAAAAATACAAAAGTTGAAGGAGTTCCTAGCCTCTCAATTTGAAGTAAAAGATCTCTAAAGTACTTTCTTGGAATTGAAGTTGCCCACTCAAAAAGGGGCACCTTCATTTCTCAGAGGAAGTATATCCTTGATCTGTTACAAGACACAGACAAGTTAGGTGCAAAACCAACAAATACTCCTATGGATGTTAATCATTAACTAGGTGATTGTGATGGTGAACCTTTGAAAGATGTGAAACAGTTTCAAAGGTTAGTGGGAAGGTTGTTTTATTTGTTGATGACACGTCCAAACATTGCTTATTCAGTTGAGGTCCTAAGCCAATTCATGCATTCCCCTGAGAGACCACACATAGAGGCAGCAGAGAGGATTCTTAGGTATTTGAAGAAGTATCCAGGAACAGGTTTTTTATTCAATAAACATAACCATCTGAAGGTGGAAGTCTATACAGATGTTGATTGGGTAGGTGTTGTGGATGATAGAAAGTCCACAAGTGGGTACTGCACATTTGTAAGAGGAAATCTAGTGATATGGAGAAGTAAAAACAAAGTGTAATTGCAAGGCCAAGTGCTGAATCGAAGTATAGAGCTATGGCACATGGGGTAGCTGAAGTTCTTTGGCTGAAGAACCTTTTAGGGGAACTTGGGTTTACCATTCACAATCTTATGTCCCTTTTCTGTGACAATAAGGCAGCTATAAACATTGCTAAAAATCTTGTCCTACATGATAGGACCAAGCACATTGAAGTGGACAAGCACTTCATAAGAAAAATATTGGAAAAGGGAGATATATGTACTCCTTATGCCAACTCCAAGGAGCAACTAGCTGATGTTCTCACAAAAGGGCTTCCATACTTGCGGCCCAATGAGTTATGTGACAAGTTGGGCATGATAGATGTATTCAGCTCAACTTGAGGGGGAGTGTTGTTGGATTTAGTTTTATTTCCACTGTTAGAGTGTTGTCAGCCTAGGGTGTTGTCAACATGTTCTTTTCCTTGTTTAAGTTTTTTATCATTAGGGTGTGCTACCAGGGGCATATTTGTAATTCCCTTTTCTTTTATTTTTTACAGCATGTTATTATAAATTAGAAGTTGGGTGCCGCCAGCCCAACCTTTTGACTCCCACACACTTTTCTTCCTCTTCTCTCTTATCTCCTCTCTTCTCTCCTCTCTCTCTCTTCTAGAATGAAAATAGAGTGCATGAGGTGCATGAGTCGTACGCCTCTAGCACGCCTCATGAAAAAAGCATATGAGGCGTACGCCTCAGAGGTGTCAACGCCTCTAGCATACGCCTCAGGGTGCTTTGGGGGCGCCTCCGAGCATACGCCTCCCACACCTTTTAAAACACTAAATTTAACAATTGATATAGCTTTAAATAAAACGGATTGGTGAAACAAGATTCATGTAGCAGACCCCATATAGTTGGGATAAGGCATGAATGATGATGGTGATGATTCTGAATTGTTAATATTCTATCACCCATGATTCTGAATTTGTCATAGGAATTGAAAACTTGGTTTGTTTCCCCATGAATTTTTTCTTTGCTTTTGTATCTGCATCAGGAGACTAAGGATCAAATTCCACATTGTCAAGGTTAAGCTGTTAGGGGGTTTGGAGGTTTGAAGGATGGGCCCCTCCATTATAAAGTCCATTTTCTTAGCAAAAAGAAAATGTAAAACAGGTGGGCCACCAAATGTCAAAGGAGTAGACTAAATCACAAGGCATTAAATATAAGGCCCACTAAAGGCATAAAAGAAAGTAAATTACAATGCGAGTAACTTTTGTTTGAGCATTGGGGTGCAAGAACCAATCAATCAAGAAGGTTCTGGACATGTATCACATATACAATAGGTTGGAATGCATCATTAATGGGACTAAGTAGACTACCATTTGAGCTGTGGACCACATTAGGCATAACCCTAAAAAGGTGCTACATATCATTGATCAATAATTGGAACTTCTCTTTTTTTTGTGTGTTTTGAGAGGGTGATTATATGACAAGATTTGTCAACATTGTATATGATAATAGAAACAGGAAGAATAACATCTAAAGCAGATATAACAACAGTATAGTGCTAAATCTGGCATATATAGAAGATAGAACTCATCATTTAGTGGACTATGGGAGGTCCCCCTAACCAAAATGATCCTATTATCATAATGATTATTCTTTTAGATGAAATGAAGAGGTAATGTAACAATATAAAGGTCCAAATATATGAATAGGTCCTAATACTAACACTAGAAAACCAGATGCAACACCTTGTATCAAGACATTTAAAATTTAGGTTGTAGTATGAATATGTCATCCAAAATGCCGTTAAAGACATTCAATTTCTAACTCCAAATGTATGTGTTTTCCTTTTAATATTGCATAATAGCATATCAAATGAACCTTGAAGTGTTTAGGAAGTTTTTAAAATTATACATTCCTTTCCTAGATGCCATTTGCAGATTTCTTGGAAAATTAAACAAGGATTTAGATGCAGCTAAAAAAATATAATACAATAGGAAGAAATATTTTTTTCCAGAAGTAACATATCTGGGATCAACATTCAGTACTGGCCGTTTTTTAAGTTAATATGAAGTATCCAAGACCAGGATCATATTGTACCAAAGGTCCAAAGGAGGTATGCTAGGCATGTTGAAGACTTTATTTGAGCCCCATAAGCCTACTAAATGGCAGTTCTCATCCCAGGAAAGTCTGGTACATGCTCTTAGAAATGTGTATGTATTCTCACAACCTATGTGTAAGCACCCATATTTCCAATGTCTAAGCTTTTCTATGTCCAGAAATTATACACGAACCTTAACAGTCTCCAAGAGAAAATTAGTTCAAGTTGACAGTAATCTAGCTTTTTGCATCTATTATGCTGAAGCAAGAGATTTAATTTATAAAACGCTTCAACAATATTAAGTCCATAAGCCACTGCAATCACCTGGTTCAACTGGTGATAAATAGAAATTAGGATTTCCAGTATATTCTCCATCAACAAAAATGAAGATAAATCTTATCATAAGATGGCAGAACATTTAAGTTTCACAAGCAATTATGCTTTTTTTTTGTCAGCCACAAAGCGATTAGACTAGAAAAGCTACCATGTTTTTTATGTATTGGGCATCTCTGTAGTAAGCTTTTGTTTTTGATGTCTTGGAGAGGCCGCAGCTCGTGCCTCTCCACGGGACACTTGTACCTGTTCTATACACTTTCTAATAAAATTTTTCTTCATTAATCAAAAAAAAAAAACAAAGAAAAGCTACCATGTTGACCAAACATATTGCAGTGAATCGCATTTGAATCACACTTCAGGAATACATCCCTGTATATACATATAATCTGTGAATTGAACACGTTATTAATCAATCAATTATTAATGAAGAAGGTCCAAAGATATCAATTTTTCCTTTTCTTTCAACTTCAAATTCAGTCTCAGAACGCAAAACCAAGAAAAATAGAGAACCCAGAAAAATACAGCAATCTAAAAATCCACAAAGCAACAAATCAGACCCAGCTTTTATACTAAAAGTCAAAAAAAAGAAAACGAGAATCTCACAAGAATAAAAAGAACGTTATCAAATAAGAAGAGATTGAAGCACCTTGGTCACTTCATCCATCTGCTGCTGCTGAACTACATACACAAAAGTAAGCTCTCTGATTCAAGTGGGTTTTCTATAAATCAAGTAATCAGTGGGGGTGCGAAAAGTTCAGCACCAGGGTCAAGTTTTCCGCCATTAGAGAATAGAACTTCTCCTTTCTCTGTCTGGAACGAAAGGAATAAGGCATTCGGAGAATTTAATTCGAAATTGCGAAGAAGGTTTGGCTGTTATTATTGTTTTCAATTTTTTGTTAATAAAAAATATACGATCACCAATCTAACCCTGAATTGCTACGAAATTACGACCCAGAAAAGTCCACACCAATTGAATCCATTCATTCGGGCCACACGCTACTCGGACGGTCGGACCTATAGCTGTGTAAACCTCACCATCACGTCTCCTTCGTACGAGACCGAATCAGTCCCCACCCCCACAAGACGAGAGTTCACATCCCCGCCATGTACCGGGAACATTCCCGATGATAGAGATGACCCCAATACAAGGCGGGGATGTGCTGTGGGGCGGTGATCTCCCACAACATCCCACACCACATTCCCGCCATGTATTGAGAACATCTCCCAATGATAATATCATCATTTATGGTAGGGAAAATTTCCGAACAGTATCGTGTACTTTGGCTCAAGTGACAATTTGATACCCGAAATTTAAAATGCAACAATCCAGTATCCAAACTTTCAAAATGTGACAATCCAATACTTGTTGTTAACTAGTCCGTTAAAGCCATTAAGTGGCATTTGAAAAGTCAAAATTGTCCTTTGAATGCCATCTAATTCTCTTTATCAACCATCCAAACATTGACAAAAAAACTAAATAATCCCAAATCCTAGCCTATTTTATTCAAAAAAGTTGTGACTACTTAGAAGAATCTAGAATTTGGATTTGTTCATTTTATTGTCAATGTTTGGATGGTTGATAAAGAGAATTAGATGGCATTCCTTGGGCATTTTTGACTTTTCAAATGTCACTTAACGGCTGATTAACGGACTGGTTAACGACAGGTATTGGATTGTCACATTTGACAGTTCATGTACTGGATTGTCACATTTTGAAAATTCGGGTATCGGATTGTCGCATTTTAAAGTTCAAGGACTAAATTGTCACTCAAGCCAAAGTACAGGATACTGATCAGGAATTTTCCCTTCTTGGTATTATCATCTGGAGATGCTCCCAATACACAACAGGATGTGTTGTGGGACGTTATGGGGGCAATCTTGTGGGGGGCTGATTTGAACTCCCTTCGTACATAGCAACTTAGTACACCTGTCAACTGTCATGCAGACTAGTTTCAAATCATCCAAAGAAGATTGACTAAGGAGTTGTTTGGTATCGAGGCGTTGCATGCCTGTTTCGAGTCCATGTAGGTGCCACATAGGATATTCTGCTATAATGGTAAAAACCTATTTGGTTAAACCGTTTTTAGTGAAAAACAAACAAAATTAGAAATGCCTAGGAATGCTCACAACACCAAAAAGGTGTTTTGAGCAAGAGGCTAGTGTTTCTCGCAAATAATGATGTGATGTGGCAGCAACATTGCCAATGTGACTTTTTAATATAGGTGAAGCCATTGCATGCTATCCTACATGGCAGAAACATTGCCAAACCATTTCTAGTGAGGTATTGCACTACTGTTTCTAGTAGAAAACACCTCACTAAAAACAACCACAGTACCAAACACCTACTAAAATGTTGGGCTCGGGGTCAAGAAACCCTTGGCCTCAAAATCTATATCTATATGCAAACGCAAGAGTCCAAAGGCACTCACAACGTGATGCAAAATTGCAAATTGATCTAGGGAGAATATGCTTGTGTTTGGTATCATTGTTGTTCCTACATGAAACCTTTTGGGTTGATGAATATGAATTGGCATATAATTATGGGTGCAAACCATGCAATCAAATTGAGCAATGACCGAATAGTTCAAACTCAAGTTTGATTAGACTTGGTTCGAGTTTGAATTGAGGTCAAATTTCAGGGTAAGCTCAATTAGTTATTTGAACTCGAACTTGAACAATACAAATTTTGGCTCAAAAGAGCATGAGCCTGGTTCAATTAATATTATCTATATCTATACTACTTTAAAAAGCACAATAGCCTCAAGAATATTTCTAGAATTTTCTGAGGACAAAATTTACCCCTCCATATTTAAATTTGTTAATAAAAGATGAGGGCAAATAGGGTAATCAATTATTGATAAATTCAATTTATTCAATTCCTTCTCATTAAACCCAAAATTTAAGGTATTAACTTCACTCACCTTCACTGAATCATATATTTAAGTCATTTTTTTTTCTTCTCATCATTAAGTTCCATTAATTAAATCCATTCATAATAAATTAATAATTCTAATAGCATAAAAACTTTTACTTTTAAAATCTATCAGGAAAAAATAGTTTTTTCATCTAGGTGGTAGTAAGAATTAAACCATTTTGGGTCAAATGGGCCAATCCATGTTGTCACAATTAAATAATAAAATTCAAAAATTGATAAAGTACAAAAAAAATATAGAAATTAAAAAATTGGAAATATTTTTAACATCATGTGTTTGACATATAAAAAATAATTAGTATATTAAATAAGAAATGTTTTTATAATGAAAATGGAATGTAAAATTTAAATCCAATTGGAAATAAAACTATTTTACTATACTCTCTCATTAAATCTCACATCTAAAGTATATCCTCTCATTAAATCATATATTTAAGATATATTCTCATCTTTAAATTCTACTAATTAAATCCACAACATTAATGTTAATAGTATAAAAATAAGTATTTTGAAAAGTAATTTCAAAACAAAATCATTTTGTTCCCTCTCGATGGTGGGTAAGAAATTCAACCATTTGGAGTCAAATGGAATAATAAATAATGTCATAATTAAATAATAAAAAATAAGATTAACAAAATATAATAATAAAAAAATAAAAAGATTTGGACATATCTCTAATATAGTATATTCATTATACTAAACAAAAATAAGTATGCAATGTAAGAAGAATTTTTATTAATGATGAAAATGGAATACCAAATTTAATATCTAACCTAGAAATGAAATGGTGTCATAGTAATAAAATTTTTAAAAATGGAAAATACAAAGAATCACAAAAGTAAAAATAGTAGAGAAAAATTTAGGCACATATCTAATGTTATACACTTTTAAAAATAAAATATTGTGTTTATCTCTAATATTATACATTCATTATATTAAACAAAAATAAATATTATACATAAGAAATAATTTTATTAATGATGAAAATGTAATACAAAATTTAATGTCAATTGATGGTTTAGGTCAAATCAGTTAATCAATTATATGTGATGGTACACAATCTGATGCTCCTTGATAGAGGACAGCTTAGACACTAGGCTAGTAAGGTTGGCTAGCCGAGCTACAAGAAGACAAAAGTCAGAATACCCAGGGTGGGCACTTTAATGCTTAAGTTAGCGATAAGTGTTTGGATGCTAGAGAATGAGAAAGCAAGAGAGTTGTGAATGCTAAATCACGTGCACCTTCTATGCTCAATGGGGTGCCTTTATATAGACAAAGTTTGTCGTTGGCTTCATCGTTGGTTTCACATAGCGTGTCCGAGATCATGGAGGGGGGGGGATGTGGCTTATTGGTCCACCTCACTCAGAGGTGGTTTTGCGCTCGGAATTGGCTTTCGCATAAAGTGATAAAGCTTATTTGTTTGCCTTTGAAGCGGATTAGGCAGAAGTTAGTTCCACTAGTGAGACGACATGATCTCGAGGAAGTCAAAGATGATAGTCCACTCTTGAAGGAGGTCGGCCACCACGTCAAGCAAATCGCCAACAAAGTCTCAATCAAGTCAGCGGAGGTGGGTCACCTCTTATGCCAATACAACCCTATCAAGATGTCCGCAGGTCGACCCTACCAAGGTGACTCTAGGACAATTAAGGTGGGCAAGGTGTGCCCAAGGTGCTTTTGAGGTTTCAAGAGACGGTTTTGAGGTGTCATGTGTCACGATGTCACTTGATGGCCAAATCACCCCTCATCAATTGCCCACACTACGGAGCCCGATGTGGCGAGTTGGTGAGGGAGTAGTATAACCTAAGGTGATTTGATTTGAGTTTTGGTCTGCTTGTGGTCTGGCCAGTGGCTCAAGATCGGATCGGTTCATTCAATCCGGCTCAACCAATAGGTCACGTTTCAGGCACACACGGACGCTACGTGGTCATTAGGTCCCGCGGACATAAAAAAATGCACTAAGTTCATTTCGCCTCAGAATACAAATTATCACGCCTTTGAGAACCATCGGATCCAATCGATCTCAACCGTCTATAGCCTAACTTACTCGTCTATAAATAAGAACCTTGGGGGCCCATTTTGTTCATCCCTGATTCTGAAGAGAAGTTGGTGCTTTCTAAGATGGCAGAGCTCGATGCAGTTAAAGTAGTCGGTGAGGTCAGTCCTTTCACTTTTTCTTGGTGAGTCTTTTTCCCCCATGCCTTGTCTTTTTCTTTCCTTTGATCATGTCTGATATTGAGTCCAGGGGAGAGAGGAATCATGCCGGTTAGGGAAAGGAGGGGTCCTCTACCCAGGAGTGGTGAGGTTCCCATAGAGGGGCCACATCCTCCCGTCAACCACCTAAGACCAAATCCGAGTTTGGTCCCACTAAATTGACAATAGAAGATGTTTATGAGCTTGTAGCTTAATATAGGATTTTGGACCAGTTCGGTTATTGTCTTCCTCTACAGCAATACCCTTGGGAACATTATGAGGATGAAGCTACCATCTTCGAATTAGATATTAAGACCTTCATCGACATATGCTAGTTGAAACAGAACCCCATTGATAAGTACAACTATTACTTGTCCTACCGCTCCGGATGTAAGCTTTTGAGCGGCTTCCCTTCCAAGGTACCAGATTGGAAGACGAAGTAGTTCTTTTTGGATCTTAGTAGCGGATGTTCGTTCTTAACGACGTGGAGAGAGGGCACCAAGGATACCGTAGAGGAGACCCTAAGTGAGTCCATGCAGGTAAGGGTGCAAGTTTTAGTGAACAAGAGGTTGAAGATGAGTGAATTCTTAGCTAAGGAGAAGTTGATACATGTCAGGCTGAGTCCTCGTGGTAGGTCATCGTCCCAAGCTTAGTTAATTTACTTCTATCCTTTCCCCTTATCTTTTTTTTTTTATTTTGTTAGAAGGTTCGGATCCATCTTATGGATGGTCAAACCATGGAAGATGG